AATCTTGTTAAGCTTTGAGTCCGGATAGTTGTTTAAGTCATTGCTTAATTTTCCCTCTTTTCACTAACCTAGGAAGGAATCGCGTTCCTTTCTTCTTTACCGACCAAAGCCACAGAATTTCAGAGGAGTCTATTTGTTGGATTATCAACAGAATTGGAAGGTGATTATCTTTAGTGCTCTTCTCTGTTTTCTTCTTTTTTTTTTACTTCCAATTTTACTTTGTACCTTTTTTTTCAGTTTTCTACCTTAATAATATTCTTCTTCTGAGCCCAACAAAAAAAAAAAAAAAGAGAGAGAAGTCCAATTGGTTTAACTTGGCGGTATGGCCCATGAAATCATGAAGTTCAATTGCAGAATTTCCAAACATTACGAGGATGTGGCAATTAGGAAACTCAAGAAAAAGATAATAAGAAAGCTCAAAAGAGCCATTGAATAGGACGAAGCAGTGACAATGAGATAAGCACTGATATTATATGGAGAAAAAGCCAAGGAGAAACCATATTACCGTTCCACAGCTTTTTCGTAGGGCCCTTCATTCTCCCAATCAAAAGAAAGGAAAACTGTTGAATCAACTTCAGCTGCTTCAGACTTTGGACTATCATGCCAAGATTCGGGAACCACATTGCCTTGATTTTTAACATCTGACAGTGCAGTTGAAACATTAGTGCTGGCAGTGATGTCTTCAACTTCCGACTCAGTATCACTATCATGTTCACGGAACCGCTTGACAGCAGTTTTTGCTACAGCTTTATCCAACCTATCGTCAATTGTGTGCTCAGCCGTTACAGCAAACTCTGAGACTCGATGAAGGTTGGTTTGCATTTGAGTCCAGCGGTTCAAGGTTGGGAACCTGCTGATGAACAGGTAAAGGAAAACTACAAAATCATCATGTAAACCAGATGAAGGAATGATCCACCATGCTAACACAGTTTTCAAAAATGTACCTCTCTGATTGATCAAGAGCAAACCACTATGCTAACACAGTTTTCAAAAATGTACCTCTCTGATTGATCAAGAGCAAGCTCGTAGAATAGCCTGTCAGCATCAGGTGTCTGCAGTAGTCCATCATCCAAGGAACCAGATATAGTTGAGTCACTGTCACGGTACAATATACCGCTCCCAAAAACACATGCTAGGACAGCCCTGACTGGGGATAGTTTAACGAGCTGCTTCACAATATCCAACTCCAGAGGGTACAGAGGGACACCAGGTGTGGCTGAGGAACGGCTATAAGAATTGGGCTTAGCTACTCTAGATGAAGGGGAAAGTACATTACTTTCTGGATAACTCCTGGGACGAGTCGGTGTCACTGGAATACAAGCCCAACCATGGGCAGATCGTGGAGGATAAACTGGAGGTACACATGCAGAAATTACTTCATGTACAAAATCAGCACACATAATTTCTGCTACCTTTCCGGCTGCATCAGTGCTACCTCGGTCAAAAACCAGACGAGTTAAAAGCTGTAAACCAAGTGGGGTAAAAATTAGCCTAAGTTGGACCATGCAGAAACAAGGACCTAATACACTAGCTATCTATCAACCCTTTTGACACATTTTCCTGCTATGAGAGCCTGCTAAGACAGTTTCTTAAGAAGTCAATCCCTCATTTTCAAAGCACAAACAAATTTTATGACAAATAGAATAAATTCAAGAAAAACAACAAACTATCTGAGGAATTTGAACAAATCTAAAAAATTAAGAGCTCATTAGAAACAGAAAGGACAAAATAGTACAGAATTAAGTCTTTTAGAGAATTTAGGATATAGTGATAGTCAATTATTTATGTGCCATCTTTTGGGCTCTGTTTTTCAAAACAGCATTTTGGGTTCAGGGTATAAAGTTACGCTTTCTTTAAGATTCCTTTCCCCTTTTCTGATGTGTTCGAAAGGACCACAGCAGCAAAACGCATATGGCAAGTAAACATATGTCAGCAGCACATGAAACACACCAAACTCAACATTCACATCATGCTTCAAAGCCCAACAAAAATAGCCAACCAAGTGTTCCCACTCAAAATCACAATAACCGAAATGGAAAGCATGAGGGGAAATGATTCAAGAATATAAGCCAATGTGAAGTGTGATAGTACATTTGACTTGGATACAAAAAGTTCAACAAAGTACTAGAGGTGCAATGTGTTGGCAAGAATGACCCACCCACAAAATCTTTTGCAGAGGCTGACATGCATTCATAACAGGTTTTTTCTTCTCTCTCTCTCTTATTTCTTTTTTTTTGTAGTAGGAGGTCTTGTAGGAACTTTTGATTAATGCCATTAAAGTACTTTTAGATATTTATCCAAAGAAAATAACTTATGGAAGCATTTTACAAAACTAATCCCATTGTCCCCTAAATATTTTTGATACACTCCCAGAACCTTCCACTGATTTTATCCACCCATCAGATCATTGCAATGGTCTCTTGGTATTTGTATCCACTTACATATTTCTTAAAAAAAATTGTTGTTGCATGGCAAGAAATAACTTTGTCCCCACTACTAAATTATATTCCACGAAAGCAGAAATTCCCTGATCTTCCAAACTTCTTCAGATTATTCCTACGGTGAACTCTTGGCAACTCTAGACCACCGACTGCAGAATGAATCTTGTTCATTCATCTTGAAGACACACATAACTTCATTGCAAAAAGGAAATCTTACGTCTTTAGGCCACTCATACACGAGCGAAAAGTAGTTGAAATCATGAGTCGTATCAGTCCCATCAACAATGTCACCAATTGCAGCAATATGGAGAATAAATTGTGAAAGATATGTTGTGGCCTTGGAACTTAAGGGGCCAAACAATCTCTTCCCAGTATCTTTTACATCGTAACTGGCGGAATGTGTATTGTTGTCACCAGCTGCTAAACTCAAGGATGATTGTTTCAATGCTCTTAACCCAAGCCCAAGTACCCCATCCCTGTCATAAGTCAAAAGAGCCTTCCTATCTGAATATGAGCCCTCTCCTTTCATGTAATCTCTTTCTGTTTCTTCATCAACAATAGCTCTCGCAAGATTATGAAGCTTACCTGAAATTTCAAAGCATAAAGAAACATTAAAGCCTCTGATCACATATACTACACAGGGAAAAAGAAAGAACATCATCATTGTCTTCGACCATTTCATAGCTCAACAGCAACACCAGTAATAAAAAAGTAACATGACAGTTACCACTCAGAAACTGTCGCTTCCCCTTGTGAGCATCTTCAATCATCTGATGTAACATAACAAGAGCACGTTCCCTGTTTCCTTGTTTGTGAAAATCCTTCGATGAAGACATTCTCATCTCCCCAGATAAAATCGCCTGAAGAGCTGGAGGTTTATCCTGTATAAATATGTCAAAGATCAGAATATTACCCTCAAAGCATATTGGACTCAATATGCAAGTAGAATATACAACTAAGAAGCTAAACAGGACCACTATTTAGATAATTGTTTAATTGTCGTAAGGAAGATAAAATGTTAAGTTCTCCAAAAACAATCTCATGATACTTTACGACTGTAGATAAACAGATACATAAATATAACTCAACTCAACAAAGCCTTTTCAGAACAAGTTGGCATCAGCAGTGTGCTCTATGAAGGGCACACTTTTTGCCTTATATTTTAGTTTCATTCAAGTTTTTATTCCATATTCGTTTATTATCTTGTCTTCGTTTAATACTTTACACCTTTGTTGTGGGGGTTGTCCACATTGTAAGACTCATCTTAAATAGGTAGCCACATGTCATGCACATACTACTTACATGGCTTGAAACTTAGAATGAATACGTTGAGACACACAGGCTCGGGGGAAATAAAAGGCTAAAGGTATCTTTAAGGGTTCCTAAGGGTCCATTTGCTTGGAAGAAAAAAATGGTGGAAAGTAAAAGCGATAGAAAGTGAAGAAAAGAGAGGAATATATATTTTCTTATATGTATTTGGTATGATGAAAATTTTAGTAGAAAATTGCACAAAAAATCTTGAAATTACTAAATTGCCATTTCCCTATCAATCTAACATCCAACAACAGAGCAAATTTCATAACAATAAATGAATATGTAAATAAAAAAACACTAATAATTGTAAGCAAAATATTTATATATTTTACTGTGACCAAAGTATCAAATTCACAGCTTAGCAACTTCTACCAGGATTCAACAAAAGGCCAAATTTATGACAACTCAAAATCAGAGTTTAACTCTAGTTGGCAAACAAAGAAGAGAAAAAAACAGTTTAAGCCTAACATAAAACCAAAAACCCCTCACTCACCTCTGCTTCATCCAGGCATTCAATCCCTGCAGAAAGTACCATATGACAACTAATCTCCATCAAAGATTTGCAGTAAGCATTCCTTGCTTATATTGCCCCATTGGCACACCTCTAACCCCAAAAAAATTGACCCATGAGCTGATGAAGAAGAATATAACCCAAGTAATAGAGCTCCCACTTATAAGCCCTTTACCAATCACAGACATTTTTTGACCCTGTCAACCACTGTCTGACTTATTAATAGCAACCCAAACATCGTCAATGCGTCTAAACAGTTCAGCATCATTGAGCTACGACATTGTTCAGCACCAACATCGAGGACGAAGGCAATGATGTGGATTTCATGATGGTAAGAATGGAGGCAGAGACTGGCATAATAGAATAGCTACCCGCTATACTGTGGACAAAGTGGGGAGGCTCAATTTCCATGCAGAATTTTGAAAAAAAATCCAAATCCAAGAGTACACTCAACTTTTAGGTGTACGGGGAAATAATCTTTCTTCCTTTTTCAACTATATTCTTGCCAAACAAACATATGAGAAGTTTTTTTTCCTCTTTTTTTCACTTTCTTGCTAAACAAATGAACCCTAAAAGATATCATTTCGTTCCATAATAAAAATACATATTTTATTTCTTGTTTGCTATTCCATCTAGATTTAATATTTTACCCCAACATTGGGGGGGGTTGTCCACATTTTAACACTCGTTCTAAGACTCAGAATGGTGACGTGGTGATACATAGGCTTAGGAGGAAATAAAGGCTAAACTTTTCTTTTAAGGGTTCCAAATAGATATCTTTTTGCTCCACACTTATAGACACACTGGCAAAATGGAAACTCTATGGTGGCTCCTACATCTCCATCTATAACCTTTCTGGTGCAGCCAATTTTCCAGTGGAATTTCAGATTTAGATAGATATGTTGGCCTTATTTGGGCCATCTATTTAAGTTTTTAGTTTGTAATGTGTGCTAAATTACTGTCAGCCAATGAATCTTATTTGACTTTTGACTGCATGATCTTGGAACCAAGGAGTAACTAATGGCCAGCTGTCACTTCTAACTTAAGGTAGTTGGAAATTAGCAATACATACAGCTGTAAACTAAAATAAAGGCTATTGAAAAGGTGGTGAAGCTATTGTGGGGGGAATCTATTGGTGAATTAAGATACATATTGTAGAGAACTTTCTTTACAGCCCTTCTAGGGTTTCTTTCAGCCTTTTTGAGCTTCTTTTTTACAACAGTTCCAAGCTTCTCTTGAATCTGGACTACATTACTTTCTCTCCCTACACCTCTCTTTCCCTTTGATCTGGTTCTTTTGCTCCTCTCCTTCCTCTTTGTCCTTCTTTCACCCTCTTACACCCCATAATCTGATGGCTGGAAGCACTCTACACAGGTGACTGCATTTCAAAACTATTCCAGGCTCATTTGGCATTCCCAGGTCAGATTTATCCCTGATTCTCCCTCCTCTTGCTGCCCTTTCATCCTATATCATCTCCTCANCACTCTACACAGGTGACTGCATTTCAAAACTATTCCAGGCTCATTTGGCATTCCCAGATCAGATTTATCCCTGATTCTCCCTCCTCTTGCTGCCCTTTCATCCTATATCATCTCCTCCAATTTTTTCTGCAAAATTAAGACTCATAAAGGGGACTGGATCATCTGATTCCTAATTGTCTGATCTGTTCAGATCTTCTTCAGCCCACTTTTTGAAGTATCCAACTTTAAAGGACAAAATCCTTAGTTTTGCCCAATTTCTTATGGATTTTAACTTCCGTCATTTCGGAATTTAGAACTGAGTACTAAAATCGCTAATGATCTGGTTTTTGATTGTTTCGATTGGTTTTCTGAGTACTTGTCTATTGTGTGGATGTGCTTGGACATTATTAGTTCAGCAGTTAATCTTATTCCCAAGAGTTCTCCAGTGTTCAACTAAATGCCAGGACAGCACAACACTATAGTCTCACATGCTCTCGCTCTAATCTAAAGGCAGTTTTTACAAAGCAAACACATTTAAAAAAAAAAGCATTTAGACCAAAAAAGGCATCCTATTTTCATCTACTAGATTACATTTTAGGAAAAGCAATGGCTAGAAACACAGTAAATATTGGGACAAAATACTATTCACTCAATGTGTCTGTATTATGATGTTCTCCAATGCTACATGAAGCATGCCAACCATACCAGCTCAGCAAAGCAGGAAATGAGGTTACAAAACTATCCAGAGCCATTTTGGAAACCGTTTCAAAACTGATAAGAATTCATAATCCAAAAAATGGTAGTTTTACAGTATTACCTGTTCCAATAGTTCATGTAAACGCTTGAGGATGCGCTTTGTTACAGCTATTATCCCCACTTCATGAATCTGATCCCAATAAGTAGATCCTATCTTTGGAGTACCACCAGGATAGATCTCGGACAACATAATCTGAGCCTGCATATGACATATTTCCATGCATTGTCTCAAGATAAAACATCCTAAAGCTCTGAAGTTCACTTTGAAATTCAAAGAACCAACCATAAACACAAAAGTGCATATCGTCTAACACCAAACTTCTGGCAGAGAGACAAGAATGGGACTCCAAGTCATAGAAAAAAGAATTGTTGAGTTATAACTTATAAAAGTTGGAGATGTTTATGTAATTGTACTGTTTATGACTTGATATATACTTGGCCCTCAGCCCACTAAAGGGCTCTCTCTCTCTCTCTCTCTCTCTCTCTCTCTCTCTCCCTCTCCAGGAAGGAAGGATAAAAAAACAAGAAACGGGGCATGTGGAATTCATGGAGTACACCTAAAAAGAACTGTCCTTTGATAATACATACACCAAAAGACACTTGAAAACACAATTGGCCAATCTTGCCTACATGGTTAAGTAACCATTTCAGTAATACAATTCCAAATTATCTTTCTTTTGCAGGCATTTCACATTCTATTTAATTTTTGTTGCAAAACGTATGCCACAGCATAGCCTATGTTGCAAGGACAAAAAAAAAAAATAAACACGTCGACAAAGTAAAATCCCAATAAATAGGGCAGGTTCATGTTAATGAGAAGCCATATGAATACATGAACTGACCCTTCTCCTCCATCCCCAGTGGTTTGATAAAATATTACACATCATTATGCTCATAAATATGATTAACCTTTATGGTAAAAAAAAATTGGGTAAATTTTATCACACTGTCCAAGATTTCTTGCATGCACACGCAACCAATGTCAACAGTGACCGGTGTCATGAAACTAACTTTTTCTTTATACTCTTCAAAATGCTCGAAAAATCCAGTGCAATGATTATATCCATCTTAATTTGAGTATGCACTGGCACATATTCCCAACAGTAAATTTCACACATCAAACATACGATCCTCAACTATTTTCCATAAGCAGACAAACAAGCAGAGCCACAAATCTTTTCCGCAATCAGAGAATATAATAAGATGGATGAAATTTTTCCACTAGTTCTACATCAAAAAATTCTTGGCCACAACAAAAAACTGAGAAAGTTCACAATCAAAAGTAATTTGTGCAAGCCTGACTCATTATACAGGCTATGAAACTGAAGAACATGTTTAGAATTAAAGAGAATGTTAATCTAATATCCAGCATGCACCAGAAGACATCATTTAGTCACTGGCCCTATCCTAAAGAAATCAAGTCCTCAAATGACTAGAACTGCAGCCATTAGCCAACTTGCTCATTTCATTCGAGTAGAAGGAGAACATAACTATTCCATGGTGTTTTATATAACAAGTAAGCAAGTCAAGTCCACATAAAAAAGACATACAGCATAATGTCGAATCCACATATACAATCTACATATTAATACTTAGGTTAAATTGCCTGGTTTAGAAGCTTCTGGGACATATTAGCAAACTTCGCAGAAGTTGCAGCAACATCAATACAGAGAAGAATCTGCAAGAAATACATACATGTCAGCCTATAACCCAATAATTAACAAAAAAAGATAATCAAAAACTGAAATAAGGAGAGAGAAGAAAAAAATACACACTTACTGCTGCCAAAGGACCTAACTGAGAGCGTAAAGAGGAGAAATCTAATGCTTGGACAGCAGAGGTTCCATCAGCAGCACGGGACACAGCATCCTCCACCTTGGAAAGGACAAAAGGAAGAAATGAAAAAAATTCAACTAGGTTAAACAATATTGGGTGCCTAAGATCACAATTCCAGGTATAAAAGAACACCACGTATGAAATATTGTAAAAAAGAAATGATTCGACTTAGAAGCACATATGAAATACCCACCAAAACATGATAATCTTAATATCACATGCAAGAGGTTGTGCAACATGATCAAGACAATGAATATTCCTTCATCTCTTTAGTGAAGATAATGGCATTCCTGTAAATAGTGACACATGTTTTCAAAAAAAAAGAGTAGAATTTTGCAAAATGTGCAGTCAGAATTTGCCCCAAAAAGACGTTCCAAAAGTAATGTATCATGATGAAAAAAGGAACACACTTCAAATTTATGGACACTTGGCTTAATTTTTTGGTAACTTCATGGAATTAGACATCAAGAAAATTTCATATCAGGTTCAACACCTGCCACTTCCAAAAATTTATTCAGATGGTAAAGTTGAGAGGCAGAAGCATAAACCTTGCATCAGCTCAAGAAGAAAAAAAAACTATACAACCACAATATGTACCCCCTATCGAACACACAAAAAGACTAAAAATATCAATTATATAAATACAAAAAAGTACTGTATTATTATCATAATAAAAAATAAGCAACTAACAAAAACAATACAGCCCAGTAGAAACTATGAGTTTACTCAGTCATCAGTTTGGATCATACAGATGCTCTCCTAGAGGCACCATCTACCCATTCAGCCAATTCCAATGTTGCTCTATCCTCTGGAGGTAAGGAAAAACGATGAACAGCCTCTTCTCCAATGTCATACTTCGCCCTTTGCATGCAACTGCATAGTAAACAGACATCAAACCTAGAACCTTCAATCTGTCTTTAATTTATCTTGAACATTTAATACACCATACTATCATGAGAAATTATAAGAGCAAGGAAAATGAAGACAAAGAAAGACAGCACACAGCCTACATGATTTAAACGAAGACTTATTTTGGAAGTAAAAATACAATGCAAGACCCCTAAAGATTGAAAATATCTAGTTTCAGCTTTAGTCAAGTCTTCATTTATGTCTGCCCCCCATTACTAGGTTAAGAAGTTGCTTGTCACTAGTCAATCTTTATAAGTATACCTATATATGTGTATATATAATTCATTGTTTAAGTATGCTTTGAATAACATAGAACTATAAGCTTGCAGTGATGTTCAAACCTAACAAAGTTGCAGTACAATTATGTGCAACCATGCACTGAATTTGACAGCTAAGCGAAAAGATTGTCTTTGTCTAAGATTCAGAGAATTAGTCTGAAAAGGTCATTCTCTTGGTGCGAGCACAAATGCACACATAGGACAGTCGGCAATATAGGACTGTAAAAATAGAAAACTGAAATCGTAATTTCACTGTTTTCTAAGCCAGCAAGATCTTTAGACCATCGTCAAATAATTTACAAAGTCCCTCTTCCTCTGTCAAAGAATTGCAAAACAAAAACACCATGACTGATCTGAAACTCATCTTCAGCCAACATTTGATATGTTTTCCACAAGGAGCACATGAAAGACGGCATTTCTCATTGGAAGAAAAAGCAAATAAGTGAATAACATGCACATAAAAACAAGACCCTCTTTCTCATGAAGCAAATAAACATCGTTTGCATGCAAATCATGAGCAGAAATTTATTAACAACAGTAATCATAACTCACAGATTGAGTAGCTTTGAAGGTGCTGCACGTAATACAGTCAATGCCTCCTTCCATCTCCACTGGCATTCAGATAATGGCAGGAGACTTTGCAAAATTGACAAACGCCATTCCCAGTCTTCAATGAACTGTTTAGCATTCAAGATTCTCCAGTCTAACACTTGTCTACCATCAGAGGATACATTTTCGTTCAATACATTTTCCTCTTCAGATATAGCAGAAGGTAGATTCTGCCGCAATATATCCAGCAGTTGCCCCATAAATGACACAACCATCTTATTTCCCCCTTCACGAGTAGCAACATCAGATTGCTCACCACCATGCGTAGTTAACAATTCAGAATGGCTCCCTGGTGGAGCACAAGAAGCGAAATCATCCAGACGTAAAAGTGAGACAACAAGGTTCACCATCAAAATCTGCATCATATGAAAGATTCGTCACTGCATAGCAGTGAGAATAAAGAGAATGGAAAGCATAAAGAAAATATACATGCTTGATGCCGCTGCAAACAAGCTCCAAACGATTAGACTTTAAAGAGACCCAACCGGTCAGAGATGAACAACAGAAATTACTTATAATAATGATGAAAACAGAATTTCAATCCTTTTTTTTTTTTTTTTGATAGGAAAACAAAATTTCATTCCATAGAAAAATGAAAGTGTACAATAATAGTGGATAAGAAATCCACCTACAAGAACAAAATAAAAACAAAAATTAAGATCTACAAACAGTTTTCCAGTTATGTTGTAGAACTAATAAAAGAGTGTGACAAAACTCATTTAGTAACCACGGCCCAAAAAGAAGCCAAAAACTTCAATATATCCCATAATAATTGTTTTTCCTCCTCCTTATCTTCAAAAATTATGTTGTTCCTTTCAATCCACAACACCCAAAAAATGGTCAAAGTAGCACATCCCCACAAAGTGAAAGCTTTCTTAACCTTTCCAAAACCATCAAAACACATAACTAATAAAGATGCACAATTAGGAGGAGTCACCCACACCAATTCCACCTCCCGGAACAACTTATACCACAAGAAATACGCTTTGGGGCAATGAAGATACAAATAATTCACACTTTCACCACTTTTCTTATACAAGACACGCCAATGAGGAGAAATACAAGTGTTGGGTCTTCTCTTTTGAAACATATCACAAGTATTCACTTTGCCGTGAGATTTCATCCAAAAAAGCACCTACATCTTCACGGGTACTCTTGTCTTCCAAATCACTGGATGAAGTTCAAAAATGGAGTAAACTGGAATCAACCATTGGAAATAGGAACAAGAAGAAAAATTTCCCAAAGGCTCAAGAGGCCAAGACTTTTTATCACTAACCGAAGGATCTAAAGAGACCAAATCAAGTAAAGAAAGAAAGAAAGAAAGAAAGAACACTCCAAAATATTTAGATCATTAAGATAACGAAAAAAAAATCCAAATTCTACCAACGAAAGGAAGACATATAAGAAACAAACACCCTAGACACCGAAAAATTATGAGACCCCGATAATCTAAAGAGTCATGGAAAACGTGACGCCAAGGATGATTCTCCAATCCTCCAAAAGAGGACTCTTTCCCCATTTCCCACCCTCAATATAAAATATTTTCTAAATTCATCCAAACCTTGAGAATAAATTTTCAAGGACAACGAAAAAGCCTCGACTCATTACATTAGAGCTCCAACCATTGGCATGGATTTCATACTTACTTTTGATCATAGAGTGCCACAAAGAATTAGGCTTCAATGGAAACCACCCCCCTTTTGGTTTAGCCTTAGACACAACTTCCCACCTAATAACAAGATGATCTTTCTTCCCTTCCCATAAAAATTCTCATCATCTTCTCCAAAAACTTAGCCACCTTTTTTGGAACAGACATGCATCTAATGACTTTTATGTCTAAACACTATTATGTGAAACTAAAAAAAGAAAACAGAAATGACCATCAATCAGCCACAAAAAAATGATGCCTATTTCCTACCAAGAGTTCTCGTCTCTAAGCATTCACTGTTAAGGTTCTGCACCTTTTTTCAATTCACTAAATTTGCAGAAAAACACTCCTGTAGGGAAAAAAATAATGCTCAATTTGAACTGTTATAAAGATCAGTGCCCTAGTATATTTTTGTAACGAAAAACACTTGGTTCTGGCAAATTTCTGATTTATTGATCCATAAACTAACTTAGAACTCCATCCACTGGCACTACTTAAGCACTTGGAGGCAAGAAAACTTTCCCAAAAGTGTGATGCTTTGCAGTCTCCTATTGAAGCAAATATTCCCATCACTTAGTGGGCAGAACAATTAGTCACGAACCACCCTTGTTGCTGTGAGCCTGCTAACCTCCCACCCCCCCCCCCAAACAAAAGAAAAAAAAAAA